GTTCACTATAGAAAGATTATGGTATGGAAAATAAATTATAAAGAAAGCTATATGTATAAAGATATGTTTGATATAAGAGGATTTTGCACGGAGACATACTTGCCTTACCAGAGAGGGAACTAACGGCAAAAGTAGAAGGCTCAAGTATGTTGACAGGAGGTTTATGGAAAATGCAGTTTATGGAAAAGAAGGGTATGCTTAGGTATTTTGAATTTGTTAACCAGGCACAATGGCACATGGCTGTAATCCCAGCCTTCGGAAGGCTGAAGCAAGAGGATCACCATGAGTGATCAAAGCCAGTCTGAACTACACAGCAAGACACTGTGATTAGGTACTACAGCTCTAACTCATCAGTCACTCCTCAGGTCACAGATCTCTCCTCCAACCTAACTGATGCTCTCAGATGAAAGCTCTCTCAACATTGACTCAACATAGTACTGGGTGTTGAAGACCCACCTAGGGAGGACTGTCGCCAGAATGGAATAAAAGGAAACGAAGAAGGAAGGCCGCTGCTTCACCTTCACCTTGGACATCAGCTTCAACTTTCTGGCATAGACACTTTGGCCTCCTGATACGACTTGCACGGGACACTAGAGTGAGCTCCAGGCCCTCACTACTCTCTAGCACACAGGCAGACCTTCTGCACTCTCCCCACCTGACTCTGTGGGCAGGCAGCCATTGTTAAGTCAACCTTTTCTTTCTTCAATGCATTTGGTGCAGGGTCTCACTATGCAGATCAGGTTCATAGTGATTCTCCTGTTTTCAGCCTTCCCAGGGCTGGGATTAGGTGTGTGCACCACCACGCCTGCCCAGGGGCGGGGCCAGCACAGCATGCGGTGCCGGGAGATCAAACCCAATCCCTGCGCTTGCCTAAGCAGGTGCTTAGTCTGCTGAGCTATCTCGCCGTACCTTGTAAGCCAGTCTTGTAACTGCTTATTTGTGTATCTTGCATTAAATATTTCTCTACCAAGCACTAAGTGATACAGATGGACTTCATGTCAGTCCACCAATATCTGTTATTCACCCTGCTTATAATCTAACGGGGTGAGGGCCATAATTTGATGGCATTAAATTGTTAATTCTACCTTAAATTATGTTTTGCCTTTTAATTATTATGGCAGCCCACCTTCATGGAATCCTGTCTTGCTAGATCCTTATTACTTCTCCCTTCAGGCACTTATTTTTCCCATCAAGAAAGCCCTCTGGTGCCTAGCTATTCCCTTCTTCCCCGCATTGTAAGAAATGCTAATTATCCACACACAGATAAGCTCATACGGACTGCTCACACTTCTGACTATGTTAAAATATGCATTCCCATCCATACATTCTAGCCACAGTGGGCTGTTTGTATCATTGAAAGCTCTACAAGGCTCACCATCACCTCTCTAGTCCTTACTAATCAGGAATCTAAGATAACTGAATATAATTCTTATGTCATTATAGACATTTTTTGCTCACCAATGCCAGCTGGTTGATTCCTTGTGTCACAAATAATAGTATTTCTCAACTAAATATGACACACATCATGATACTCAGGCAGCAAACTGCAGTGGAGTTCCCCACCAATCCCACCTGACGGGACAGGAAATCCTGCTCCTGAACAAATCACCTCAGTACCTGAATGTGTCTGGCAAAAGCACGTTCTGTACATTTTCATTACAAGTAGTACTGTGGCTACTGCATTGGCTGCTTCAACTCAATCTAAACTGCTCAAACTATGAATGTCTATTTCTACAATGTTACCTCAGAATTACTCAATCTACTAGTGAAAAGGAAATTCTACAAAGACGTAACACTCTTGAGGTTGCTGTCAACTGGCTCAGTGAAGACAAACAGGCCCTGTGAACAGTCAGCTTAGTTGTGATGTTTGGATCTTGGTAGGAGGTCCAACACTTTCTCCATGGTGCCTTTCACACAAACCTGGATGCAGGTGTTATTAATGTCCAGGGCCAACCTGAAGCCTAACTTCATAGATTTCAAATGGAGCCTTCTTTTTTTTTTTTTTTTTTTTGGTATTTTTAGGGAAGGGTCTACTGTGTGTTCAGGGTGTCACTACTAGATCAGACTCATAGTGATCCACCTGTTACAGCCTTCCAAGAGCTGGGATTACAGGCACATGCTACCACACCCAGTGTCAATCACAGTCTCAGTGCTTGGGGGGCACAGCATGGCAGGTCCCAGGATGGAACCCCCCGCCCCTGTGCCTGCTTGCAGGCGCTTTAATCCACTAAACTATTTGTCCAGCCCTCAGATGGAACCTTCTAACGTTACTTTGGATCACCTCAATGATACTGCCTACTGGCTCAATCCTGAACACTGGTTCTCTGGTATCAAGCCCCACAATTAGATTCGTAAAGCTACCAGAATAACCTTTCTCTGCTCTTTCTTGCAGCCCTAAAAGTACTCTGTGTGCTGCTGCAAAGGAGCCACCATGCAGAAGCCATAACGATGTCATGCATGAAGCCCAATATCTCTCCACCTGTACTCTTCCCTCTCTGCTCAATCTAAATTATAAAAAAAAAGGAGGAATTGCAGGGAGACGCTGGCCAACAGGGTGACTGACATGAAGGAGAAAAGAAAGGGACCGGGACCTGGGGAAGAACACTAGTTTTCTAGGCCCCCAAAACACATGTTAGCTTTAGAGTGGAGCTGCAAGACAACAGTCAGTGGAATTAACAGTAATTATTCTCAGAGATGTTCACTTTGACCACCCTTGTCCTCTCTGCTTAAAACAGGTCAACATATGTATCTCATTCCTTCCAGGCCCCCTGACCAAAGCTCCTCTACAAATATGGCACATGCATCTTCTACATCTTTATTCTCATGAACTTGATGCATCTTTTTGGTACAGGGTCTCACTATGCAGCTTGGACTCGTGGTGATCCTCCTGTTTTCAGCCTTCCCAGTGCTGGGATTACAGGTGTGCACCACCATGCCCAGACTCGGTCACTAGCTCAGTGCGCCCAAGGGACGGAGCCCGGCGTGGCCTGCGGGACCAGGGATCAAACCCTGGTCCCTGCACTTGCCAAAGCAGGCGCTTAGTCTGCTGAGCTATCTCACTGGCCCAATGAACTTGAGCAATAAATAAATAATCACAGAGGTCTCAGCTCGCTGCTTTCTCACACCAAGAAGCAGCCCCTCTGGGTTTCTCAGTGACTCAGTGAGAATGAAGTGACTGAATGAAGTCTCATTCCTGAGTAAACTTTCAACCTCTGTACCCCTGTGATCACACACAGCAACGAAAACTGAAGCTTTTTGTTTAATTTCACCTTCAGCCCTTTCTCATTCCAGGCCAAGCACAGAATGGCCTTTCATATATCATTATGTAGAAGCATTGGAAGATTCAAGGAGATCAGAAAACGTAAGCATTTTCACAAGAAATAGACATACAAACATCACAGGAGTATGAGGCATTTTCACTCAATGAGAACTATGGTGATTTTTTTTTTTTTAAACTATCAGAATAACTGCTCAATGACTGCTGTTCCTGTTACCATCCCAAGCTGCTTTCCTCTTCTATCTTTATGTCATCCTGTCTATCAGACAGGGTGAAAGTTACACCTAATACAATAACAATAATAATGGGATCTTTTTTGAGGCTCTCTCTATGCAGTTCAGGCTGGCGTTGGGCTCATTCTGTAGCCCACGCTGGTCCCAAACTTGCAACGATACTCCTGCCTCAGCCTCCTGAGGGCTGGGATGATAGGCATGCGCCACCAGGCCAGGTGTAATATATTAGTACTATATTATAATATTCCATTTTCAAAAGAAACTAACTAGCTCATATTTTAAATAGTGTTTGTTTCTCCTGTTTTAAGATTACAAAATTTAAAGCTTTCTTTCCCCAATAAATGCATTCTGCTCTTAAAAAAAAGAGAGAGAGAGAGATTGTAAAATTTGGGCTGAGTGTGGCTCAGTGGTGAAGAACTTGCCTAGCATGTGCAAGATCCTAGGTTCAATCCCTGCTACCACACACACACAAAAAAAAACCTTCTCAATGTAGGACTGCAACAGCGACATGACTAAAGCTGTGTTATCCAACACAGCAGGCCCAACGGGCTCCACGCACACACCTCAAATGAATCAAAATTAGATGGAATTAAAAATGCAGCTCCTCTGACTCGCCCCATTCCAAACAGGAAAGGCACCTCTGCCACGCGGCTGCTCACAGCATCTAGCCCCGGCTGTAAGTTTGCAGACTGGTGGCAGTTATTCTAGTTTACATATACTCTGTCGGTCTCCTTCAAAGAAAAAGATATTCAGTTCATAAAAAGTGTATGAAGGGGCTGGAGAGATGGCTCAGTGGTCTAAAGCACCTACTTAGAACAAGCTTGGCAAAGCATCAGGGACCGCGGTTCAATCCCCCAGCACCACATGCCAGCCAGTCCCGCCCCCTAGTGGGCTGAGCTGGCCACACACACCTCTCTCTCTCTCTCTCTCTCTCTCTCTCTCTCTCTCTCTCTCTCTCTCTGTCTCTCAAATAAATAAAATAAAAAAAAATTTTAAAAAAGTGTATGAAAACAGAAAGGGTTAAAAAAGTGGTACATGAGAATTCCCAGAACCAGTCTCTGTTTATCAAAGTAGAGAAAGGCAAACTGAAAAATTTAAGGAATTGTGACTAAGAATTCAGGCTGCTCATTTCAGAGGGATTTACACAATCATTTTGATTAAGTACAATTTCTACCTTACCTCTTTTTGTAGCAACTTACAGGAACTACATCTTTTCCAAAATATTTTGAGGCAATTAAAAATGTAAAGGTAAATAATATTGAGTGTCCATCTCATCATTTTACCTCTTTAAAAAATAAATTTGAGGGGCTGGGGAGATGGCTCAGTGGAAGAAGCGCTTGCCTGTCAAGCACAAGGTCCCAAGTTCAATCCTTGGTTCCACCAAAAAAATAATAAACAAACTTGCGGCTGATGATCAGATGCAACAGGGCTCATCCCAACTCCCAACATTTCACACTTCCTGGTCGCCAGAGACAGAGAGCTTAACGTACCTTACCAAGTCAGGAGCCCGAATTATCCCTTCCACGATGTTATCACGTATCTGCTGGCGGTCATTTTCATGAATGTTGAATGGAAAGACTGCTTCTCCCGGCGGAGGCTCTCGATCTGGCCAGTACTGGGTCACCATGTTCTTCAGGTAGATGGCAGCTACATTTGAGGAAAAGTCCTAACGCATTAGCACCAGAAGGATGGCACTGACCCCACTTCAGAGCACGAAGGGAGAAGGCCTTGAGGGTTAACCACAACACCCAGCACGTGTGGAAAACCTTTGCAGTATCCACTGCAAGAGGCACAGTGGAAATGGACATGAACTTAAAGGTTTCCCTGTAGCTAGTCTAAATAGAAATATTTTGCCAAATCAACCTCCAGAGCACGAATAACAGAAAAATAACTAAGCACCATGTATATATCTTTAGACTAAACACACGGGGCTCTAAATCAGACCAGATGCAGTTCACGTCGAGATCCTAGAACCACACTGCTCACAGCGCTGAGCGCACGACAGATGCAGCTCTACTTCTCTTCCCCCAGACTTTGTTATTTATTTTCTTATACTGGCGACTGCCCTGCACCTCCATGTTGGAGCATCGGTGGTTTTTACAGCATTGGTAATTTTATGTACTTTTTTTTTTTTTTTTTTTTTTTTTTTTTGTGACAGGGATCAAACTCAGGACCTTACACTTGCC